AATACGAACATGTTCTTGCATGAGGCCCAATAATTCAAATGTTTTGAATAAAATTCTAGAGAGGAAAAAGTGGCTGCTGGGCCTGAAACCTCACACAGCTCCAACCCCACAGCCTGAAGCCAGAGGGAAAGGTCAAAGGTTAACTGACCCAGGCTGTAAGGCCACAGAGGTTAAACTGGACACTTTAGCAGAGCAGCTGGGGGGTCAACAGAGGAGGGGTTATTTGTCTGTCTGGTTAGCAGTTAACCACGTCTCGGCCCCCTTCCTTCTGCTCGTTGCAGTGCTGTTTGTGAATGAGAGAGCGGGACAACAAGGTGCGTATCCAAAGACCTGCTGTAAAAGTGTGTGTTAGCTCATTACCCAGCCAGTCGTTAAACTTCTTAACCTCAGACGGTAGGCCGAGCTCGGTGAAGTCCCCCATGTGGAGCAGGACGTCTCCGTAGGGCATCTGGATGCCATCTGTACGCGAGTGTGTGTCAGAAACACACACAAACCTGGTGTGTCCTGCCGGCTTGGGAGTGTCATAAGGTATGGGGTCCACCCTGAAGAGACAGAAGGGGACAGGACATCAGGAAAGATCATCTGACCAACACAAAGTCCTGGACTTAGTGGTCAAAACGCCAGACTAGATCTGGATTTAAACTCATTAATACATTTAGGTAAACAAGTTGAAAAATTCAACTGGGAGTTGAAACTTGGCATTTCAACATGTTTTTAATATAAAAGTTGTTGAAACATTTTGAGTCCTTGAAGTTCTTTGAAAACATTTATCTGTGTGTAAAATGTTTTCAAAGAACAAATTAAAAAGGCACCAACCTAAATGTGAAACTAAATTTGACCGGCTCAGATCAACCTATCAACTGAGTTGCAGACAAAAATCCAATGCTTTTTTGTCAAGTAAAATGTTCCACTTATGTTTTAATTCTGCCTTGGTTTTATGCAGTCATTTCTTCACACTTTGTATTGAACTTTTGTTTCTAACAGCAGAAGAGGGGATTATAAAAAAAAAGAAAAGAAAGCACCCTCTTTCATTTTGAGCCAGAAAGGATGACATTCAGAGGCAAATCTTTAAGAAATGTTTGAGCTTTTCACACCATTTTGTAAAAGGAACAAAGCAGAAAACTGGAAAATGCGTGGCGCACGAGAAATTCAACGGTCCACAGAATAACACGTCGTACTGAGCAAAATACATAAAAAATAAATAAAATAAAAGACATTACAAGCAGTAATCTGACTGATTAGTGCTCACAAGAAGGGCGATGCTTTTAATTTTTGTAGTATAAGATTGGCTAAACAGACAGTGAATTAAAGTGGAGCACGTTCTTTCAAGCCATTATCTAAAAAAAAAACTCTTAGACACAACTCTGTCTGGAGGAGAAAAAAACCTCTTTATGGAGGGTCTTTTGTTTGAAAGAAAAAGGGGAAGAAAAACGTGTACTTTTCTGACTGAAATGAAAGAAAAGAAAATATATTAGCTCGTCTGTAATTGAAGTCTGTAATGTGCAATCCTCCAGCACTCTGCCACCAGACTATTATTTCATTAGAAGGGTTGTCACTCTGTCGACAAAAATCAGACACTTAATCAGCCCTGCAATCTTCAGGCTGACACACAAACACACGGGGTAACGCACATGTGGGTCCAGAAATGGCAAAAAATAAAATTAAAACACACAAGCAAATACAATTTTAAGGTTTCAGACTTGAGGTTGTCAAAGTGAGAATAGAAAATCAACCCTTTGTTTGTATAAAAGACCGAGATTTCATTAGAAGGTTATCGTTTTGTAGACCATTTCACAGCTGTGACGTGTTGAGTAGAGTGTGCAAAGAAAAAACATGAAATTAGATAAAATGAGGTTTTAAGAACATGATCACCAAAGGATAATTATTTAAAACAGATTTGTTGTTGTTGTTTCCAACAAACACCTGAAAGGTCTGCTGTTAATCTCAGGTCCAGCTGTCTGAGCCCACTACCTGCAGAGGATTTAATGTCAAAGTTCTGCAGAAAATCTACTTCTCCATCCTGACAAAAGAAAAAGGAAGCAGTAGAAAACTGTTTTAGTAAGATGTTTGTGCTGTTGTAATTTACAGAAAGTTTTTTTTCCCTTTGTAAATTCAAGCTTTAAAAAGACAAAAAAAAACCCATCAGATGATCATGTTTTAGCGAAATAAATATTTAACAAAATCACTTTAGTTTTAGTTTATTTGCACCATGAAATTACAAATCAATTCAAGAGGGAAAAATAATAGTGCAGGAAGAGGCAAAAGCCCAATGGGTTATATATAGCCTCCATTCAAAAGTTTAAAAATTAATTAATTAATCCAACAATTCAATCCTTAATCAATTGATCATAAAATGATAAAATACAATCATATAAAAAAGTTTAAAAATAAACAAAGATAATAAATAAACACCACCTTCACTCTATTAGAGAATTCCCACTAAAATAAAATAAAATGTTGAGGCAGTCCTGTTTTAATAAGGTTAAGCAAAGTTATTGGTGATATTTGTGGTCACAACCCTGTGCCATTGTTTGTTTGTTTTAGAAGCTGAAGAGTTTGAGAACTTATTCTAAATTATTTACTGTAAAGAACAGGATTAAGTTAAAGCAACATATTTTTTAAAAGGTAAGCTGATGAAGTCTGAGTTTTACAGGATCAATTCACAAGAAAACTTCCATCTGAAGTAAAGAGCTGTGTTGACGCCGATGATCTACAAATAAAAAAATCTTCTCATTAAGAACTGACCCAACATAATTTCCAGAGAATGTTGCTAACCACGCTGCTTCCTCTGACTTAGCCACGATTGCTGAGTAGCAGGTTTCCTACAGAAACTGTAAAAACCCTGTAAAGCAATCTTGCAGGAACCCTCTGATACTGTAGTTCTGATCATTTTTCTGCCCCGTTGAGACATTTGAACACATACTGGCTATCATTCATCAGCTTCTTATCAGAGTCGGTGCTTTGCAGAATTTGTAATCTCTGCACTCAGTGTGGAACTGTGTGTAAACAGCAGCTTGTTGTGATGTGTCCGTAATTAGAAGAACTACAACTACAAAAAGAATCTGTTGCTTGTGTCTTGCATATTCTCATTTGCTGCCTGCAGTCGGGTTCCTATTCTGCAGTCGCTGGAGGAGCTCGGCTTTGTTCTCGCACGCTGGTGCAGAGCAGGCGTGCGCCGTGTAAACTGAAAAATGAAAAACTAGCCAAAGAGATAATGATATTTACTACTGATTGTGTGCAGCAAAATACGACTCCGTGCTCCTATAATGCACACACGTTACTCTAGTGGCACACAGACTGCGGTGAAGCTGCTGATTAGATTTGGTGCTCTGTGGTGCCTGGACGCYGTGCAGCTTTAAAGGATTCAACAGTTCTCGTCATGGAGGAAGGATGAATGCCACATGGGAAGGCGGAACAGGCACAAACACACCCGTGTACACACACGTCCTATATATACATGCAATCTTTCCAACCCCCCCCCCCCCCCCCCCCCCCACACACACACACACACACACACATGCATGCATATTAAAACAAAGCCAGGAGAAAGAAAATCTCCATCTCCTCCTCTTTCCTTTGAGATTTAATCCACCGGGAGAATGTAAGTAAATACCAGCAGCCCCTATCAATTAGAGCAGGCTCGGGCCAAGAAACCTTCATGATAGTAATGCATCGCTCTCTCTCACACACAAAACTAAGAAACAGAGAGCCCCGGTCTTTTCCTGTTAACATACGACTGCATAACAATCCAGAGCTTCACAGCTAATGTATACAGGAGTTCAGGAGTTCAGCACAGGCCTCTGATCTTTTGTAAACGGAGATGGTGAAAATGAAAAAAAMAAAGTTTTCCTCTCCTCCAGCAGCAGGTAAAATAATATTCTCCAGTGACAGACAGAACCATGTTAGCATGAAGGTTCATGTTAACATGTCTGAGACTCTGTGTGACATTGGAGGGAAGACTGCAGAGCGCTCGGGGAGGGTTGGGGCACACTCTGAACCCGCCGTGACGGCGGAGCTGACACAGAACTGAAGTCTGTGGGCTGCAGAAGTGTCTGCACAAYGTACAAATGTCTTTGATCCTGCAGGGGAAAGAAAAAACTCAGGAGTAGAAACTCTCTCTCACCTTTAGGCTGGATTATCACAGCAACATGCAACATGAGATCTTTWTATAGAACCCACAAAACTTTATTCAAATATTTATTTCTGAAAACATGAGTTGCAGTATTTCTTGAACTGGTATTCATCACAGACTGTTTCCTCTGCTTCATTTTCACAAATAAAAACCGATGAGACGATACACATTCTGAACTAAAAATATTCCTTACATGGTCAATAAACTAATTTATTTGTTTTGTTCTACTTGCCCAAGAAAATGTGACTAATATAACTGAAGACGAGACTTTGAAAAAAAAAACACTTGAATTTAAGGATTTGGAATCCATTTTTCATTGAAGATGCTAAAAAGAAATCTAGAGTAGAAATATGAATTCAGAAACTGCTAGTTTCCTACAAATATCTACAGACAAAATAAAATAAAAATAACTGACCGAACGGCAGAACAATTATTAGTTACATGCTATATTTAAAATAAAAAAAATGTGGTTTTGAAATGTAAAACTCAAGAAGGGAGACACGRTAAAGGAGCTCTCTGACGTCTGCCGGAGGATATTTCTTTTGACGGGACACACTTGCCTCCTAGCCTTTTGGAAAAACACACAAGGAAACAGGGTCAAAGTTTAGACTTGTTTCTTTAAAAGTGTCACTTAACTCCCAGCAGATAAGCAGCTTGTTGTTTCTGTCACTTCCTGACACATCGACCTCCTTAAACATTTGATACTTTAAATTACTACTTGTCAAGTTTGAAAGTCAAGTTTGTTGTTTTGTTTCCATAGTGCAAAAAAGCCCTCACATTCTTAACTTTTAGCTACATTTAACCCCACAATCCAGCAACTTTATATATACACATGCCAAGCACTACAAAGACAAMAATGATTTTATTTAAACTTAAGAGTGACTGAAAAAGAATAAATAAAACCAGTAATAAATAAACACAGTGCAGCCACTAAAGTCCCTGTCTTATTATAACATTTTAGACAACTCATACCAACTTATGAACATTTTAGAGACTTTTAAACAGAAGATGTAACCAAAAAAAACCAACTAAATTGACTTTTAAATTGATCAAATTTACTTTTTATTAATATTTTAGTCTAAAAATTATTTTCATAAGTTGTTTAAAATGTTGTAGTGTGACAGGGGCTTGATATGCAAGTTATGTT